CATCCATGATGGACAGTTTTCAGCTGAGCTTTCAGGTTAAAACAAACTATGTAGAAGGACTGGTCATTCACTTCTGAAACAACAGGCCTTTGAAAACTCTATGAATATTTGAGAAACTCTGTAGGTATATCACTGGAGATGGAACCCTCAGATTGGAAGACAAAAAAAAAAGCAGAAAGAAACAGCTGCAAACATTCATTAATAATTGGAACATGGAATATATAACATATAAATTTAGGAAAATTCAAAGTTGTCAAAAATGAAATAGACTGTATTAATATTTACATTCTAGATTTTAGCAAGCTCAGATGGCCTGGCATTGACCACTTAGAATCAGACAATCATATGATCTATTATACTGGAAAAGAAAAATTATAGTAAAAAAGACCATTTCAAGACCGATCCTGGAGCTAAGTGAGGGAGTGCTGAAAGTGACATAGAGTTAATTTGTTTGGGGACTTCCTGCTTTCTGGGCTCCCAGAGGCTGAGGTCTGTTCCACAATCAGCACTTGGCCTCGTTTTGCCTCCTGATATTGAAATTCTCCAACAATTGTTCCAAAGATGTAGTCAATCTGATTTCTATGCAGTCCATCTGGTGAGGTACATATGTAGAGTTGACATTTCTTGGTTGGTTGGGTTGTTTCCCCACCCCCCACCCCCCACCCCAACATCTAAGCTTTTATTAATTTTTTTTAATTAATTTTTTAAATGGTCCATGCCAGTGAGACTAGTGGTGGTGGGGGGGGAAGGAAAAGTAAGAGAATAATCAATGATATTGTTCGATAATTTCCACACTTTGTTGGGTCACCTTTCTTTGGAATGGGAACAAATACCCATCTTTTCCAGTCAGTGGGCCAGCTGGCTGTTCTCCAAATTTCTTGGCACAACTTAGCCCATCCAGGCCAGTGTTTGGATTTAGAAGAGGTCGTGGTACTAGGGGTATTATAGCTAATGTCAGATGAATCTTAGCAGAAAGCAAAGAATACCAGAAGAATGTCTATCTGTGCTTCATTGACTATGGAAAGGCTTTTGACTGTGTGGATCACAACAAGCTGTGACTGACTCTAAGAAGAATGGGAATCCCAGAACATTTGATTGTGCTAATACGAAACTTATACTTGGACCAAGAGGTAGTTGTCAGAACAGAGCAAGGAGACACTACATGGTTCAAAATCAAGAAGGGGGTTCGTTAGGGATGTATTCTGTCTCCCTACCTTTTCAAACTGTATGCAGAACAGCTCATCCGAGACACTGGGCTATACAAAGAGGAATGTGGCATCAGGATTGGTGGAAGAATCATCAACAACCTGCGTTATGCAGATGACACAACCCTGCTTGCTGAAACTGAGGAGGACCTGAGGTGCTTGCTGCAGAAGATCAAGGACTACAGCCTCCTATCTGCACTGAAGCTCAACGTTGAAAAAACGAAGATTCTAACCACTGGGCCAATTAGCAGCATCAGCATGAATGGTGAAGAGATTGAGATAGCTAACAGTTTTAATTTACTTGGCTCCACAGTCAACACTCTTGGTAACAGCAGCCAGGTAATCAGGAGATGAATTGCATTGGGAAAGTCGGCTGTGAGGGACCTCTCAAGAGTACTGAAGAGCAACGATGTCAGGCTGGAGACTCAGGTGTGCCTGACCCGGGCTATAGTCTTCACAATTATGTACTATGCATCAGAGAGTTGGACAGTGAATAGGGTTGATAGAAAGAGGAATTGATGCCTTTGAGCTGTGGTGCTGGAGAAAAGTGTTAAATATACCATGAGCTGCTAGGAGAACAACCAGGTTTGTCCTGGAGAGGGTGAAGCCAGAGTGTTCCCTGGAGTCAAGGATTCTGAAGCTTCGTCTGACATATTTTGGGCATGTTGCAAGGAGGGACTGGTCCTTGGAGAGGGACATCATGTTTGGCAGAGTGGAGGGGTGGCGAAGGAGA